ATATTATCCAATGTAATTACAAGAAACAGATATATTGGTTTTTGACATATATCGTACAACTTAGTTACAAGAAATAAGTGTGTTGGTTACAGGCCTATATCGTACAATGTCATTAAAAGAAACACATATGTTTGTTATTGGCCTATATCATATAACATAATTACAGAAGAAAAAACAGATCTAGTTCAAGCTTATTGTGCTACCAACCCAAAACAAGATGGAGCTCAGTGTAGTTCACCAACTGTTGATACTATTTCAATTTTTTGTCTAATAGACTGCTTAGAACGGGATTTAAGTTTCACTTTTATTATTATTGATCATTTTGCTTTTGTATTACATACTTTGATTGGTTAATGTCTGAAACAATCTACTGCCAATCAAAGATGTAGTAATATCAACTTCTAGAATCAGCAGAGCTGTGTGTTGCACCACTATGTTTCTAGGAGCGACTAGTGGATTAACAATACATTTGAAAATTCGTAATGATTGCAGGTAGCGTTGCTCCATTTTTCGTCTATGCAAAGCACTACTCGCTACATTGAAAATATTAATCATTTGTATATTGTGTAAAATTATATTTTGTATAACTGTATAATTATGTAGTTTTGTATATATACATAATTATCATATATGATATTATATATATTGTTTCGTACATAACTGGCTCTCCTGTGGTACCTGAAATATTCAACTGATTCAGTCTGCACTATTCTTTGTATTTGTTTATATTATCTTTATTTGATTTTTCCTGTTTGTATGTTCAGTTTAATTTGATATTATCTTAGAAGGTTTATTAAATTATTTGTATTTGAAAATTTAGTTTAGAAGTACTTTTAAATGTTTTATTAAATTTCTGAGCTGGACTATTCTAGTAGAAACTTTTCTTGGTTAACAGGTTTCAATTGATAATACAAGATATTCATATCAACCAGCTAGTTTACATTTCATGTCAGATAATTAGTTAAGAAAATTCCAGACATAAATATTATTATAAATCGTGATTTATAATGTATACTATAATATTATCCTATATATATATAAAGACAAAGTGTGTGTTTGTTTGCACTCTAACTCCTCCGAGCCTATTGGGCCAATTTCAACCAAAATTTTTATGTAAACAATATGAACTATGGGGAATGTCCTAGGGGTCAAAACTGAACATAACCCTGTTTCTATTTTGTAAAACCTGTTGGTTAATTACCCCCAGCTTATTGAGTCGATCTCAGTCTTAGAAGGTTGACGCTTTAAATAATGTTGAAAATTCTAAGCGGATTCAAGGTCAAAATATGAAAGTTGCTGGATTGTTTCTCAAACAACCATGCTTTTCTCATGGTCAGTGAAATGTAGGGTGTTCAAGGGTGGGATCACCTCAACATTTTTATTTGTTGGTAGATGAATGTTGTTTATGAAGAAGCTTTGTTATAATTTGTTATTTTGAGATAAAGTTTATTTTCAGGTTATTCCCTTGAAATATATGATTGCTGTTAAACTTATATTGTTTTAATTAAGTTTAAACATTCCCCATCAGGTGAGGGGTATTTCAGCTTCTATTATGTATTATTATTAATAAAATAATAAATAATATATATTCATATTATTATATATTTGTTGTAATATATAACAGTATTATATAATATTGTATAATGTATTATACATAACTATGTTTTTACTGCATTTTGCTTATGAAAAACAATCAAATGTGTTACGTGATGCAGTTGCTGCCGTGAACTTGTGGCGTCAGAATTGAGCTTGTTATCTAAGGCAACTAGACGTCATTTCTCCGTATTTCCGTTCGTCATTCCGTCAAAGCAACATTTAGAGCAAGGTTGCATCGCCATTTAAATTAGCTAATGTCACAAAATGGAATCCGGTAAAAAAAAAAAGATGAAGTTTCTGTTACAGAAACCTTTAACAGTGACTAAATTGTGGAAGCAGCCATCATTGGCCTTACATAAAATACTATTTTGAATTTGTTGGTACTGAAAGGACATGTGGATCCAAGTCACAAAGTGTTTTGCTGCAGTGTTAGATGTGTTTGTCCAAAAAAGAATATTTACAGTGCCAATAATAAGAAATCACTTTTTAATGTAAATAAACACATTAGTTACAAACATTCCCATAAACTCGAGGATTCTGAGTTGTGTACCAAGAGAGGAATGAAGGTAAACAGGTCAAGCAAACGGTCAGTTGAAGCAACAGAGACAGGAGCTCATCATACTTCTAGTAAGAGAAAAAACTGGGGAAAATAAAGCAGAACAACCAACTCTTGCTGCCAGTGCCGAGAGGATTAGCCAATGTACAATAAATGCATTCGTAACTGTTTGGTCGTTTAGGAAATACTTCCTTTCAAATTTGTTGAATCGCAAGCTTTGAAAATCTTATTCAGACACTACAGTCAAATAAACAAGTTTTTGGTAGGAAAGGCCTAGCATCTGCAATTAACGATTAATTAATTCGCCCAGAAGCAGGATGAGCTCAGTAGATTGCAGCTGTAGAGCGCATTTTCTCAGCAAAGAAAGACAGTTTAAAGCCAAAAAGAGCTGGATTCACAGATAACAATTTCGAGAAGCTGATGCTACTTAAATTAAATAGCAAATTAAAACAATAATAAAATTGAACAAGTATTAAGGGACGTAATATCTTCTAATATTAGATATTTATTATTTTATATTAGCTTATTAGCTCATTTATTATTATTGCTGTTATCATATTCATTTATTTTTGACGTTGTGCTCTTTAAGTACTATTATTGAATGTATCGAAGGGGCACAGCGGTATGTCTGCGGACTTAATACGCTAGAAACCGGGTTTCGATACCCGTTATGGGCAGAGCACAGATAGCCCATTATCTAGTTTTGTGCTTAACTACAAACAAACAAGTTAGCTGATTTCCTCTCGTCATTCACAAATGTGGATAGGCTGGCTGTTCTAAGAAGTCTGTATTGTTATTGAAGCAATAAGGTATTACCATTTACCAATCAATTTTCGTTTTTCATTCTTACATTATCCATTGACAAAAAAAAAAAAATGATGAAAAATGTCAGTTTGAAAAGTAGCCTTGGCGATTGCCAAGACTACTTATAGCCAGCCACGTGACTTAATATTACGTTATTGAATAAAGAATTAGAGCTAAGAACTATTTTTTTTCTGTTTAATCAAAACGTGATAGTTTGATAGACGGCGTTTAGATTTAGTTAACAGGTAAACATTGTTGGGTGAACCAAGAATGTATCTTTTTATGTTCATATTAGTGATACATCCACACTATTTATGAATCGTTCTAAGGTAAGTAATCATGCTTTAGTGTAATTTATGAGTAACTATTCATGATCACAAGCAGTTTTTGAATACGATGAGTGTAAATCCAGCAATAAGTAACTTGAAATGCTTATGCTTACCAGGGTTAGGAGTATACACGTATTTATGTCATTGTAAATTGGTGTTAGGAACCGAACACCTTATTATTAGTATTATGATATATATCTATGAAGTATTCTTTTGTAATTTAACTGTGAAAATCACGAAGAAGGTATACATCTGATGGAAGTAGAAGAAACATCCATTCAGGATGACACTGATACGTATGTAAAGAGTTGGCATACGAATTACTGTTGTTATGTATTCAAGAATAACATCTCAAAAGTTTAATATTCTATCAACAGATTGGATATGACCCCATTCACAATTCAATCATTCAATCCAAACTGAAAGCTGTACAAGCAGCTGTAAAAACAAACAAAGAAAAACATTTCCTGAACCGATAATGTAATTAACAATGGATGGAGATGAATACGATGAACTGGATGCTGTTCAAGCAGCTGTTAAAAACAAAAAGAGAAAATATTTCACAACCGATAATTAGATTAATAATAACGTTGTAGTTAAGTAATAACTAATATGAAAATACAGATTCTCATAAGTGACTTCTAAAAATACTAGATTAAGTCTGTGTATAGCGCTAATAACTCATATCAACAAATTAAAAACACAAAAATATAAATTAAGTGGATGTGTGTGGTAAGGGCAAATGTACCTGGCACGTGCAAAATCCTCTAAAACTACATTGCCTAATTTTCCTATCTAATTTAGTGATTTCTGTCAATCCAAATGATATACTCGATATACTAATCATTAGGACACGTCCAACCCAGGAGAAGAAAAAAACTTACAGTGCAAGATGAAACTTGAAGAGATAGAATAGCAAAGAAATAGTGAGAACATGCAGGAGAAAAGGAAAAGACAGGAAAGAAAGAAAGACGAGAGAGTCATAAAAGGGGAGAGCTTGTAGTGAAAACAAAAGGAAAACGGAAGAGTTATGAAAGAGGATGAACGTTCATTGAAAATATATGAAAGACAGAAGACAAAATGAAAAAGAGAGAACGTCGAGGAAAAGATAGGCGAGAGAGAGAGAAAGGAAAAAGAAGAGCCTGTAGTGAAAAATTAAAAACAGGAAAATATAACAAAGAAAATAGGAAGAATTACAGTTTAAAAATAAATTGAAATATAGCGGAACATGGACTGAAGGAAACTAGAAAAAGACAAAATTAAAGAAAGAACTTGATGTGAAACATAAAGACAAAAGGGAGAAGAAAAACAAGAAATAGAAGATGACTGAAAAAAGAAAAGTAGCTAAAGTAATGGAAGTGAAAACAGGTATATTAAATAAATATATAGAAGAAATAACAGAACACATGAAAACTACAAATGAGAATATAAGAGAGTTGGAAAGTACGTACTTGTTACCTTTGTACCATCAAATGCTTAAACAAATTTAAATATTTTTATTTCAAAATATTATCTTTGTATTTCAGAAGAACAGCAAAAATGCAAAATTAAATCATATTTCTTAACGATTTTTATTGTCCAAGCGAGTTCTGCCTCAGAGAGAGGAAGCGAAAGGACAAGAATACTTCTAAATGACGTAACAATCTTGACGCATAGCGCCACCTGCCACTTTTGTTTAAACTTTAAACAACCTACGTGCTTCTATGATAAGTTCCATTCCCTTCGTTTTAGCAGAAAGGATCATGTGTTTGCTCTTCAGAAGCTTGATTTTATTTTTACTTTTATGCCAAGGTTTTGCACGTAAGTTTATACATATCTATTACACTTGTACTAGAGATAAGTTGTATATAATTCTTAATATTTATTTTCAGATCTTAAAAACGAATTCCTCGTAGTTTTCCTGTCAATTTTTTATTAACGTATCTTGAAGGTAAACAAACGGCGATGCTAATAATGCTGGCCCGGCATGGCCAGGTGGTTAGGGCGCTCGACTCGCAATCTGAGGGTCGCGGGTTCGAATCCCCGTCACACCAAACATGCTCGCCCTTTCAGCCGTGGGGGTGTTATAATGTGACGGTAAATCCCACTTTTCGTTGGTAAAAAGAATAGCTCAAGAGTTGGCGGTGGGTGGTTATGACTAGCTGCCTTCCCTCTAGTCTTACACTGCTAAATTAGGGACGGCTAGCGCAGATAGCCCTCGTGTAGCTTTGCGCGAAATTCAAAACAAACAAGCTAATAATGCTACTCGTCCTAACTATAGGCTTACATGGGATTTCTTAAGGATTGTTTTTAATATTGGCCACATTATGAACTTACTGGCCATCATTAGAGAATGTTAGTAATCATTCTATTTACTAGTCTTCATTACAAGACGTAATGAAACCTGAGGGCACTTAGTAGAGTTTTGTAATAATTATTACACTTTAACAATTTTAACATATTAATTGATATCACCAACACAATTCCATATATTCTAGGTTTGTTGCTTGTTAATCTTGATTAACACATAGAAGTTAATTTATAACTTGTCCTTTATGAAAATTGTTAGATCGTAACATGTAATCTATAAAAATTGTTAATTCATAACATGTCCTTTATGAAAATTGTTAGATCATAACACGTAATCTATAAAAATTGTTAGATCATAACATGTCCTTTATGAAAATTGTTAGATCAAAACATGTAATCTATAAAAATTGTTAATTCATAACATGTCCTTTATGAAAATTGTTAGATCATAACATGTAATCTATAAAAATTGTTAATTCATAACATGTCCTTTATGAAAATTGTTAGATCATAACACGTAATCTATAAAAATTGTTAATTCATAACATGTCCTTTATGAAAATTGTTAATTTTTTCATGTTCTTTTTGAAAATTGTTAAATTCTTTTCTGTTTGCTTTAATTACAGAAAAGTTAAAAGTTCCGTGTTTGATAAACACTTATAACTTTGCATTAATGTTTTGAAACGGCGAATATTTAGTTCAAATATGACGCTTTTCTAGTGTTTCGTATCTTGTATTCGAATAAATAAATGTATATGGAAAGTTATTATAGAAAGTGAGATTTTCCAAGATAGTTTTTCGCAAACAAAACATTCTACTAAAGCCACTTAAAATTGATAAATTACTTACAATAAAATAAGATTGATCACATTATTATAGTAAACTACTGAGTCTCATTTGGTATGATATAGATCTAAAAAAAAAAAAGAGTTAAGAATTAGCTTTGACTAGAATACAGGCACATAGAGATGGAATGTTAGGTAGAACAGCAAGCTATTTAAACAGAATAAATAGATAGAAAGTTCTCTCAATAATACTCTTTCTTCATATATAAACAACTGAGTAAACAGAGTGGAAAAAACGTGTTGTAGTATAAGTATTTGCGTGTACTTATTCATCTGATAATATTCCAGCAATTCCTATCGAATGTTTAATATGTATTTAGTGTATACGGTGAATCGTCGAACAGCTCAGAAGTATGTTTTGTTTTTAATACAAGCTGCAAAGCGTACGTGCTTAGTAAACTTTTTATGGTGAATAAGGCATTTCCTGCGTCACGTAATTCACATTAAAATCCCAAGATTTCTGAGTCGTAATTGCAAGTTCAATGAAAGGTAACTAGAGATTCGAGGGTGTAATAGTGTAACGACAGGTGTAATGGTTTGTTGCAAGTTGAATGAAAGAAATAAATCACGGTGTGTAGTTGAAAACCCTTTACTGACTGGAGAAACTAAAGAATGAAGTACACGGTGGATGATGTTTTAAATGGATGAACATTGCATCGGGGATTGGGATGGAGTTAAGAAAAAGTAAATCCTACCTGAATAGAAAATTAAATTCAAATAATTATATTTAAAGAAGTAAAAGTGGAAAGACACATTTTAATGAACTATAACTTCAAAATGAATTGAGGCTTCTAAACAACTTGATTGAAAGCACACGATCATCAGGTCGCAGAAGGTACAACAAAGACAGGGCTTCACTAATAACTCTGGGCGCTTTCATTTCAGATCTGTTTTAAAACAAAAAACGAAAACTAAGTTTGCAGTTCACCTTCTCTCTTTATCACAAGTTTCCGAAACTTTTTTGCTTCTTATGACAGTTTCTCAGCAGTCCCACATATCTAACTAATACATTATAACTACCCCACGAAACAATAATTAGCTTCCATGATCGGACGCTGCGACAGAAAAGTTATATTTAGCCCATACTTTATAAGATAGAGATATCTGTTCTTGACATGCCACAAGCTTGTGTTTATTTTATTGGATTGATTTCATATGTTAAAACATCAATTTCTTAATACTACATAACATCACACACCGTACTAGGTAACGGTCATATTTTGTATTGCGAACAATTGTTTTGTTGAAGCAGTAAATGGATAGAATATATATAGAACAGACGTAGTATACTTTTACTATACTACAAATTAACCCAACTAACATAAATACTCGTACTTCGCTGTAGGACTAAAGATCCACAGAACCTCCAATGTACCGATCAAGTTTGTCCATTATTCCCAATTACTTCTATAACTGTTCCAATGGAGGTCCATACTTGAAACTAAACTTTGTTACGACACCCTCCAGGTGTAGTAGAGATACCAAGGAGGGGTAGAGACACAAAATCTAGTGCTAGACATTGGCTAAACGACCATTAAAACATTCTACCTGACCTTTATGATGCTTAAGTGATCATACGGGTGCGTTTTAACCTCACTTAGTACCTCTTCGATAGGTAAGAACACCCCCAAGCCCCCAGAGTCCGCATACCAAGTTTGGTCTAGAAAACTGTGGGAGGAGTTTGCGGACAAACAAACAAATACAGTGTGAATTAATACAGGATAAAATTAAATATTTTTACTTAAATGTTTGTATAGGTCGTTAATATTAAGAATAAAGGTTCTTTGATCTAATTTTACGTTTATCAGACAATTATTGATATTAATTAGAACGCATTTTTTAAAATTTCGAATCTTTAATAAAAATCAAAAGAAGCAAATTTCCAGAATTACTTATTAAAAACTGTAGTTATTTAACCTATTTTAAAAACCCTGCTTTGCAAAGTTGTTTAGAAAAAAAGTCACTATAATGTTTTGTCTTGATTATAATTTTATGGTTAAGAATGTCTAAAACTATAAAAAAATTCTAAAATGCAAAATAAAACTTATATTTCTTGATATTCTGCAAGAAACAAAAAAATATTAGTGAAGTTTTCTCGACAAAGCACTTCGACTTTCCTAATAAAGTAAATAAGTAGACGAGATCGCTGTAGCATCAACATTAAAACCTTGAATAGACTGGCCAACTTGTTAAGCATAACAGGTACGTTACCTAAACACAAACAGGTTCCACAACTTCTTATGCTTTACTAAAAGTACAGGTTTCTGCGTCCGTATATGTTGCGATTAGTTTTTGTATGTCATGTGGAATACTGGAATAATGGTTTTCTGAACTGTTAAGATGCCTGCCTATAAGATTACTAAAAGGCAATTATCTGTATCATGCGTATAGAACAGTCTAATCTTCATAGAAATACGTTGTCCCAAGAGATAGAATAACCTGACCTCTATAGAAATGTTTTCATGAGAGGTATAAAATTCTGATCTTTATGTAACTACGTTATCCAGAGGGGTATAAAAGCCTGTTCTCTATAAAAGTATGTTGTCATGTGCTCGAGTTCATAAAAATGTTGTGAGGCTATGTAAGTCGTACCTTTCATGAAATCTATAATTTTATATATATGAAAACAAGAGCGATGCATACGTATATGTAGTAGACTGTACATGACCTGTTCTTAGTTACAATTTTAAACGCAAAATTAACAATGATATAGTTAAATTTGAAAATATTTACGAGTGTTTCCATTTACTTTAATCTATCTGACTTTAAAACAACTTCATATACGAATACTATAACACGAGCTATTGGAACAGGACACAAACAAATTTTATTATAAAAAAGTGTTATAGTAAAATATTTGAATAATCTAGCAACAATATGCTAAGACATATCACAGACCCTGCCAATGCTGCACTTAACTTATCCCACGTTTTAGAGATGATTAATAGAAGTATTTGTAGCGTGTATTTTTTTATATGGCAAAGCCACATTGGGCTATCTGCTGTGCCCACTGAGGGAAATCAAACCCCTGATTTAAGCGATTAGACATTTATAGCTTTAATACTCATTTTTAGCTACTCCACCTGTGGTATTTTATTCTAACGTTAAGTACGTTTAAGGGTAAGTAATGGTAAAAATCACTAGTAATTAACGTAATAGTTTAGTTATGTATCAGTCCTCAGTAACTTGTCAAGTCTTCGAGGCGAGCGAATTATAACCGATTATAATGTATTAAGAGTAAAAAATAAAAAATAATACCGTTTTAATTTACCTTGATTATTTTTTCGTTACAGTTCTGACAATAAAGCGTATTTTGTGTTCAGACCATTAATTCCGATGTCTTTAGAACAAACCCAGCCTTTAACCAAGACTAACTTGTGAAAAGCACACGTTGTTTCCAAGGGCACTTTCATTTCAAACTGTTTACATTTCCATGAGTCTACGTCATTTCTAGTTACAGTTACCTCAAAAGATAAACTAAACTTTAATTACCTTAGCTTTTTATCTGTAATATGGGAAAGATATTTGTTTCCAAATATTCGTCGATATAAAATGTGGTATTCTGTTAAATTATATAGTTAAAGTTTTCTCGAAGCTGATGTTTCTTTTTGATTTAAATGCATATTTTCCTTTATCAAACGCTCATGAAAATAAATCTTTAATAAC